GGGCAGAGAGAGGATGATTTCGGTAGTAGCAAGTCAAGTAGCACTGTCAAACTAGCCTTCATCCCCCCTACCCCCTTTTGTCAACCTAGCCTCAAGAAGAGCTGGGAACTCAGTTTTGAAGCTAAAAAAAGGAATCCTCAGGGCCAAGTGCCAGCTTGGACACTTCATTCCCCTTTATTCAAAACAGATGCCCACCTCATCCAGCTTCCAGTTATACTGGGCTCCCTCTGTGGGCCACAGGGAGCTTGTCAATGAAGAAGAGTTAAGGTGGGCAGGGGGGAACACTGCAAACTGCATTTTGGTCCCACCACCTTTTCTAGAGGCCCAGATTGGGCAGGAACAACATTTTTAGCCCAAAGGTGGTGTTATTAGGTTTGGGGCTGTTTTTCAAGAGCAAAGGGGGCTCCGTAAGACTTGTTGAGACTCAAAGCAGCCCTTAAAAAAAGTCAAGCTCCCCTCAGATCAGCAAGGCTTAAGGTGTCCAGCCAACCTTCCCCACTGTGGAGGAGTAGAGAGATCACCCTGATGAAGGAATGTAAGAGCCATTAAGAGCAAATAAAAGACAGCTCAGTCCTAGGAAAGAAGGCATGAGGAAGAGACTCAAAATAACTCTGCCTTGATTCTGTTTGGTATAGAGGGGGCAGAGGGAAATTCTAGGAGGTCATCAAGTTGTAATCTATCCCATGACTGAAAGTTGCATTCCTGGAACCCTTGCTCCATTTGTTTCCTGATCTGGCCTGCCCTGAAGGGCTGACACCCACATAGGGTTTAAAAGAAAAAAGGACCCCCATCCATTCCAGGGTTGTCACTTCACTGGCCACACCCCCAAGGCCTTGAAGGCCAAAGAAACTAAAATTGTGACTCTATCAACACTACCATCAGAAAACCATCTGCCCGTGTGCTACAGTCCGGCAACGCGCATGTATGCAGGTCTCCATTTGCCTTCTAGGAAACCAGAATGCTTCTGTTTCCTCCATGTTTCTGTCTTCGGGACAGCCCTTGAAGGCGACTTACCATACAGCATGGTTGCAGTGTTTCAGGGAGAAATCGTAACTGCTCTCCCAGTGGGGCTGAGCATCTGCTGATGACACCTGCACAAAAAAACAGCAAGAGGGAACTATCAAGGACAGGATGGATTGGGAATGGCGGAGGAGAAAGATGGATCTGCAGACTATGCCTTACCGGCTGGTACTTCTTAAGAAGGCTGTCCATGGTCTCCAGCTGGCTCTGTTTCCCGATGTTTGGCTTGTAGAGGGTGAAGTATTTCCCCCGGGTCTGCTCTGCTAGGAGGCAAGTGTATTTGTTGCCTCGAACCTGCAGGGGGCATAGAACTCGTGGTCAGTTCAGGGGGCAAGGGAGAGGGAGTGGTGCTCCTTAAAACTTGGTACCGCAGATTAGGAACTTGGTGTCACACATGGGCTCAGCGCATGGACAATGAGGTCCTTGCAGGGCTGGCATTGACCCACCCAGG